ATTAATTTTTCATGTCTTACACTGTCTGATGTCTCCCTTCACCTATTTTTCTGTTGTCCATCCCCCAGGGAGGGGGTTATATTTAGATCATTGTGATCAATTCCCCTTTCTCCCCCAAATTTCTTCATAACAAGCCCTTGTTGTCCTGTGCCCTCTGAGAAAATCTATCAAGATTACCCTTTTGGAATCCAAAAAAATTTATGAACTGACCTCTCTGCCTAGAATTTAGCTGGCCCAGCAGATAACTCTTAGAAGTCACTGTTTTGATTAGCATTTTTTTTCTTTTTATAAGGCATTCTAAAGTAGACAAGCAGCGGGAAAGGGGAAGGCCCTGAACAAGATGCATTGGCCCAGTGGCTGCGGCCATGAGCTCAGACATCAGAACAACTGTGAGGATGGCCTAAGTCTGGCAAACGTTTCCTCCTGTTGTGCACCGGGTCTCTGAGTCAGAACCAACTCGATGGTGCCACCAACACCAATGGTGAGCGAGCACCGAGGCAGTAACGAGCGAACTTGTCCTCAGCTAGCCATTATCACAGGGCATGCTTGGCTATATGTTGTCTGGAATAAACCTGTGCGTGTATGAACTGGAACCCCACTGGCAACACTTTGTTGACTTTCTCTCATATAAAAGGATTTCTTCAAGGAGTCTTCAGGCTTGATTTCAAGTTGCCTTGAATGGCATCCCTGACTCGGGTGAGTAGTTACACAACTGTAACTTCTCCCGGGAAGCTGACATGTCTCAATGGTGAATCCCTCACCCTGTTTATATGTAAGCAGGGGCCACAATGAACCACTGTGAAGAAAATAAACGTCTCTGTACTAGTGACTAGGGTAAGATTGTACAATATGAAGGAAATGCTTTCCTGTCCACTGCTATCCTTAGGGAGGGCAGCGAGTATTGAGTATAAACTGATCACTGTTCTCTTGTTTTAACTCCTAAAATACCTGTCCCCTTACCACTTGGAAGCAAGATAATGACACATAAAAATGAAACACGAGAAGAGAGAAAAGGGCAAGGACCCACGAAAAGCCATTACTGATCTTGTCTTCTTTCTAGGTCTCTACTCAAATTCCACTTTGATTGTCACTCCATTTTCTGCCTCCATCTTCACACAGAGTACTGTGTCTCTTGCGTGGCCTCTCCTCTTAATGTGGGCTCATTGTAAATCTAGAATAACTTTGTCTCAATATCCTTAACTAATTACATCTGCAGAAATTGTATTTCCAAATATGCTGAGGTTCAAGGTGGACATGAATTTTTGAGGGACAATATTCAATCTACTACAGGGAGTGAGGTTAGAGTCATAC